ACTTGGCTGCCAGAGTGCCTGGGCTGGGGGTCCCTGGGTGTGGTGAGGGTGGGTCAGCTGCACTTTCGTTGATGCGGGTTGTCATCCCTTGACGGTGGCCTTGGGCTGTGGGTCCAAAGTTGCTTGGTCTCCCAGGCAGTGTCTGACCTGGGATGGGAGCCTGGGGGCTGCTGCCCCATCCCACATCCATCCCCACAGCCCCTGCTCCAGCAGTGTCCCCATGGACAGCCTTGCTTATGGAGTGGCCGCTCTGTGTTTTCTTCAGAAAAAGGAAAAAAAGTTCCCTTTCTTTACTGCTTAGCTCATTCTTAAACATTTATATTAGGGGGGTTTGCGGGGAGGGGAAATAATTGTGTAATGTCTTAGGAGCAGGGGAGCATTCCAAAAGCATGACTGCGGGGCCTTTTCCAGCACTAGCACTCTGGCAGCCACGTCTCTCAGTGGCCGCCAACCTCCCTAAACCCAGCCCCAGCCTTCCCACCCCTCCGGGAGAACGGGACTGTGATCCCTGGCTTGCATCTGTGTGGAGTGGGCTGCGAGCAGGGGCTTGGCTGAGCCCCCTCAAGCTAATATCCCTGGGAAAGTGTTCCAGTTGGGAAACTGGACACTAGAGGCAGTGGTGTGGCTGGCTGCGTATCATGGGGACTAGTTGCGTTTTGTTTCTATTTTGCCAAGTGCTTTTGGTGTCCAAACAGTTTCAGTTTATGTCCAGCTCCTCCTCCTCAGCTCAGGTAGACACTGCATGAGATTTTATGGACTTCTGCTTGAATCCAGGTTCCTGACAGCTACAGCTTCTCCAGGGAAATATGTAAGTGAAAATAAGCCAAGTCACTATCTTGCTACAGGTTATCAGGAACCTTTAACCAGGGTTACCTTCCGACTTGCTGTTTGCACTGGAGAGGCGCACTGACATGAAAAGTAAGGATTTGTATTAGCAAATAGTGATCGGTGCTGGGGCAGGCAGGCGTTGCACAAGTACAGGCATCTGCTGATATTGTGGCATGTTGTTGGGAGCTTTCAACAAGACATTTGCGCTACCGTGAGGCTGGGAAGGCTGTCACTACTGCAGGAGGTAAAATAAGAACATGGTATGATGTCCTTTGGAAAAGGAGGTAAGGGCAGGCAGCTTTTCCCACACTGCTCAAACACTTGTGGTTTGACCTTTGTTTAGGCTTTCAAATTCTTCTGTTCCAAGTCCCTTTCTCTGTTTTGCTTGTGGATGTTTTCTGGGGGATTTAGCAATGAAAACGATCCACCCCGGACACTTTGCTCCAGGTCTAGGTCTGGGAAGTTGCCCTTTTCCACTGGAGTGTGTGTTAAGCCCAGCCTGCCTGGTTGTGCACAAATATCTCCAAAACCATGGGAAAGGTCTAAACTTGTGCACTGGGTTGAGCTCCTACTTTGACAATCACTTGTCATTTGGATATAGCAGGTCTGGAGGTCTGAGGAAGGTTTCAGGCAGCTCTCAGTGGTAAATACAGACATTTTCCTTGGTCTTTGCTTCTGGCAGCAGAGGGATGGCAGGTGAGCCAGGAGCAGTGGGCAGCGGTGGTGTGGGTGGGCGTGGGTCAACCCTGGGTGTCGGCGAGGGCTGCTGGCCAGGGCTGAGGGCTGCTCTGTGCTGCACAAACTGCACAGCTCGGCCAGCCTGGGGGCTGGATGAGCATGAAATTACAGGTGCTGCTTTGCCAAAGCCAGCGCCACTTGGATGGTCTTGCTGCAATCCCAAGCTCTGCCCTGCCCTTTGTATTTCCCCTCAGCACAGCCGTTTGCTTCCAGCCCTTTTTGGAAATGTTTTCTGCCATTCAGCCTTAATGATTCCATGATTCTGTAGTAAGAGTCCCTCCGGTGCTTGCAACAGTGGCTGAGACACTTGTCCTGTACAACCTTGGCCATGGCTTAGGTATGTCAGCAAATGAAATTCCCCTCAGTGGATATCCCTGTGGGGTTTAATTTGGAAGTTTCCTTACTTTATCATTGTACCAGTGAGTCCAAACTGCTAAAACTATTTCTGTAGTGGAACTGCCCCACAGCACTGGGGGTATCCCTGTGGGCAGTGTCCCTGCCAAGGGGCTGCTCCCAGCACAGCTCTTTGCCCCCCCAGCCCTGCCCAGACTCAGAGCTGTGCCTCTGGCCAGGGCTGTGATCCCTGGTGTGACTGGTCTGACTGGGGTGGGGCCGTCAGCAGTGCTTGGGAATTTCTGCTTTGGAGCAAAACCCCTCTGTTACCTCTAGGAAGTTGAGTCTGGCCAAGGAGGCTCATTGAAAGATTCCTGCCCCTGGTTGGAGTCCTTCAAAGCACTGACATCTTTGTCTGCTATTCCTGAGTCCCCATAGCAGACACTGGATGATGGACACATCCTGCTGCTGGAGGAATTCCCCATATCCTGCTCAGCAGGAACTTCACATTTTGAGGCACAAAGCTGGGAGAGACCAGCAACACAAGGGCTGCCCTGGAGCCTGGCTGATTTTATGGTGATTTTATGGTGATAGCTATAGAATAGTTGCTTGGAAAGTAGAACAGAGCAATCTGGGGTCATGTTGCAGCTTTGTGGTGAGCTGAAGGAATGCCTGCTCAGGATTTGGCGGGTGCTGGCAGTGCTGGCACAGATTAAACCCACGGCCAGCCCCGTGTGGGCCCAGCCTGCCTGCAGCAGCAGGTGCAGGGATGGGCACAGGAGCCCTGAGGGGGTTGGCAGTGGGAAGTGCTGGCACACAGTTGCTGTTCCCTTTTGTTATCTCCATGGATGAGCAGGAGGCATCTCCTGTGAGTGCTGCTCACACCCCAGAGCTGCCAGTTTGGATTGCCAGCGTGGGCTGGGCAGTGTTGGCTGTAATTTTGGGTGGTTGGCACTTGGCAGAGTTTAAATCTCAATTTACATGTCTGTTGTGAATGACTGTGTGCTTTTAATCATTCGGCCTGATGGCAGTTGTGGAAAAGCTGTCTTCAGATTATCATAGAATCCCAAAATGGTTTGGGTTGGAAGGGCCCTTAAAGCTCATCTTGTTCCACCCCCTGCCCTGGGCAGGGACACCTTCTGCTCTCCCAGGTTGCTCCAAGCTCAGTCCAACCTGGCCTTGGACACTTCCAAAGATGGGGCAGCCACAGCTTCTCTGGGCAGCTTTTGCCAGGGCCTCACCATCCTCTCAGGGAAGTATTTCTTCTGGAAGGGGCTCTGAGGTCTCCCCAGAGCCTTCTCTTCTCCAGGTTGAACACCCCCAGGTCTCCCAGGCTGGCTGCAGAGCGGAGGGACTCCAGCTCCATGGTCTTGCTGCAGCAGCTCTGTGTTTTCCCTATGCTGGAGCCCCAGGGCTGGAGGCAGCTCTGCAGGTGGGGTCTCACCTGAGTGGGGCAGGGAATCCCCCCCTCATCTGCTGCCCACGCTGGGGGATCAGCCCTGCACACCTGGGCATTTCTGGGCTGCCAGTGAACACTACTGTGTCATATTGAGCTTTTTATCACCAGCACCCCCACATCCTTCCTTGCAGGACTGCTCTCTCTTAATTCTTCAGCATTTGTACTTGGGATTGCCCTGTTTGTCTCCATGAAATCGTCTTCACGTTTTCCACGTATTATCTGCTCATAATCTGGCGACAGTGCAAAGACTTTTGCATCAGAATCCTCATCCCAGGGACTGGCCTCATCCTGCTGAGCAACAGAGCATCCACTGGCAAAGCAGCTCATTTCTCCTAGAACAGAGAGCTGCAGGCATCAGTGCTGTGCCAGGTGCTGGGTCCAGGGCATGGATGGGGGCACCCAGCTGACCCCTGAGGCTCACACCTCTTCCAGCCTGCTTGCCCTGCTCGCCTTTGCACACCAGCTCTGGATTAGTAATGGGCTATTTCTGGATGGCTCTCCTGAGTAATGGAATGAGTTGTGCTGAGAGTTTGGGTGGGGACAGTGCCTCTGCCCTCTGAGTCACCGCTCAGCATCACGCTGGACTCGGGAGCTGCTGGGGCCCGGAGCCAGCCCAGGTCAGGGAGGACATTGGAGGCCGTGGGAAGGAGCTCGGGGTGCTCTGTGCTCGGTCTGGGGCATCTGCTGTCCCCCTCGCAGGGTGGTGTGTAGGCAGGAGCAGTGCCACTCTGGTTTCACTTTCAGTCCAGTGTCTGCAGGCTGGGCGTGAGCAGATCCTGGTGTCCATCTGGGGGTGGGTGTTTGTGTCCTTGCTGCTCCTTACAATGCAGATGTTCTCATCTATGTGGTGCTGTGGGTTAGATATTGGCACAGCCCAAACTGCCTTTCTTCTTGGAGATACGGAATCACAAGGTGTATCATGTTTTGCTGTGGGCAATGAAGCTTTGTGTCCAAGTAAACAGGCTTTTTTCTCCCTAAGCCCTCCTTTTTCTGTGCTGTGGACATGCTGCTGGAGAGGGGACGAGCATTTGGTCAGACAAGAAGGATGGTTTGCAACAAGGGTTGGACTTGTGCATCTTGGAGTTCTTTTCCAGCCTTAATGATTCTGTGGCACTGTGGGTTTGCCTGGCCCAGCTGGGACAGGCAGGAGCAGCAGGACATGAGGAATAGGGACAGCAGCTGTTTCCCACTCCATGCTCAGCACTTGCCTCCCTGAAAAGTGCCCCTGGTCCCTAAAAGGGACCCTTTGGAGTACTCTTTTTTTTTCTCTCTGACTTCAGTGTTGCACAAATGTGCTTACCTTCCTGTAGACCTGCTGCTCCACTGGGATGTGTGCCTGACACCAAGGATCTCAGCTGAGGAACTTCACATCCTCCCGGATGCAGCCCTTGATCGTCACTCTTCTCACCTTACAAGTGTCAGCTTTCTATTTTTATTAACAGCTCCAGAGCACTCAGCAGCCATGAACCATTCCTGCCTCAGCTTGTGAACTAAAATGCTTGGAACCTACAAAGATCCATGACTAAGCAGGATCTGGTCTGGGGATGGGTGAAAACTCCCTCTCTTTTGCCCAAACCATTGTGCAGTTTGATTTGTGAAATGTCTGTGGGGTTTGTGTGACAGGGGTGCCCTGCCAGGCACGTCGATGAGACAAGTAGGTCTGCAGCCTGCCTTTGGAATGTGAATCAGCCATTCAGGCTCATTTCTTAATCCTTCCCTTGCAGCTAATTATGATGCAGCCAGACTCCTGGTTTACCCTTTTCCTCCCTTTTCTGTTGGCACAGGACTCACCCTGTGCTGGGATCACTGGGGCAGGGACAGATTCCTGGCTTTTGTTAAGGCTCAGTGTGAGTGCCCACGCAAAAGGCCAGACTTGTGATATTCTGGCCTTCCCAAGGTGATCCCAGTAATCCTGGAGTGATCCCAGCATGGTCCTCTCCCACTGCTCACAGCTCAGTGTACCAAGATTGATGTGTGTGTTCTTCCCACAAGGTTATTTCCTGTGACCCTTCCCCAGGCTCCCAGTGTGAGTGGCTCCTTCCCATCCTGCTGCCTGGGCACTGGCTTTGGAGAGGGATGGGACAGAGAGGGAAAGCATGGAACATCCCTGCCTTCACAGAGGTTTCCTGGTCACCTGTGTAACACACACTCCCCCAGAGCAGTGTGAATTTTCAGGGATCAAAGCCTGATGTGTCAGCCTGCATCATTCCCAGGATCTCTGCAGGGACAGGGAGCTGGTGATGTGCTGAAGGCACGTAAGGAGTGGGTCAGGCTCTTTGGACTGGGACTCTGGGGATGGGAAAGAGATTTTGGTCACAAGGTTGGGGAGGAATGTGATCCCACTCTGGCTGATTTCCTCATGCCTCATTCAGATGCTGTGCCAGGCGTTTTGTAGCATTGTCCTGGCCAGTTCCCAGGCTCAGCTATAGACCCCTTTTGAAAGTGAGGGATGCAAAGGCATAGTTTTCCTTGCAGAACTGCATCCTTTTTCCCTGGGGCAGAAAGCCTCCCTGCTTTAGTTGTGGGCTTTCAGCTCTGTTTGCTGAGTGATGACTGGCAGCTTCTCCTGCTGCCACTGCCAGCGTTGGCTCTCTTGGTTCCATGGCAAAGGCTCTTTTTTCAGACAGGCTGGGATGGGGCCAGGTGCCAGTCACAGAGGTCCTGCTTGCCCAGGCCTCCAAGAGCTTGGCTTGGCGTGTTCCAGCTGCTGATCAGATTATTTGGGGTCTGGTGAGTGTGCTGCGGTGAAACTCGGAGCACAGTTTCTGCTCTGAAGAATTTATAATTTAAAATAAACCCAGCATGTGCATGTGTTTATTTTAAATAAACTGAGGTTGTCTAAAGTCCTGGTTACCTGGGTGATAGCACAGCAAAGCCAGGGAGAGTTGGATATCTGGGGAAGGCACTCCCATGAGATCCCTGCGTGTGGCCACCAGCACTACCCACATCTGGGACAGTTCTCCCAGCCACAGTAGCAGTGCTGGGTGTAAAAGGTTCCAGTTGGGCCGGTTCTTGTGGTGCCCATGAGCTGGTGTATGTGGTAGCTGGAGGGTGTCTGGCAAAGGGCTGGGGGAGCCTTTGTCCTGTCTATCACTGGCTACTCACAGCAGGATGTGCCCCAGGTGCTCGTGTCTGCTATCCCCCAGGCTGTTGTGCACGGGAATTTGGGGGCCCAGGAGCATGAACTGCCCATGCTACTCTGTCCTGCTCACCTGCTCGTGTCCCCACAGCGATGGCAGCCATCAGGAAGAAGCTGGTGATCGTGGGAGACGGTGCCTGCGGAAAGACGTGTCTGCTGATCGTGTTCAGCAAGGACCAGTTCCCCGAGGTGTACGTGCCCACCGTGTTTGAGAACTACATTGCTGACATCGAGGTGGATGGGAAGCAGGTAAGGGCCACTGCCACTCCCAGCCCCTTGCTGTGTGTCTGTGCTGGCAGTGCCACTGCCCAGTGCTGTTCTAGGATTGCTCTGTGTGCTCGGAGGCCCCTGCAGTCCCACGGCTCCCGCATTTCCAGGTCACACTGAGCCTGCCCCGCTTTGAGGAAGAGCACAGCTATACCTGAGGAAGATAAATCTGTCACTCCTGGCCTGCAGAGCCACTGAGCCATGTCCTTCTCCCTTCTCAGGTTGAGCTGGCCCTGTGGGACACAGCAGGACAGGAGGACTATGACAGGCTGCGGCCCCTCTCATACCCCGACACAGACGTAATCCTCATGTGCTTTTCCATCGACAGCCCGGACAGCCTCGGTAGGGACCGGGGGTTGAGGGGGGACCTGGGGCTCCCACAGGACTCGGTGCTGCTACTGAACCCCCTGAGGTCTGGAAAGCCCCTGTGCTGCCCCCGGAGGATGCCAGAGCCTTCCCTTCTTCCCCTGACTTTGTGTGCACTTGAGGAAATGCTGGGAACTTGCTGACTGGGCAGAGGTGGTGGGAGAGGAGGATGCTGTGAGGGAGCTCTCCCTGCTCCAATAGGAAAAGCTTGGGGCTGGTTTCTGTGAGGAGGCTGTGGGGTAGCAGCCCTTCAGCTCATAAGATTCCACGTGTGCTTGTTGTAGAGAACATCCCTGAGAAGTGGACGCCAGAGGTGAAGCACTTCTGCCCCAATGTGCCCATCATCCTGGTGGGGAACAAGAAGGACCTGCGGAACGACGAGCACACGCGGCGGGAGCTGGCCAAGATGAAGCAGGTGAGGACAGTCCTGGGTCCCCCAGCCAGCAAGGCACCTCTGTCCACACCAGATCCCGTCGGGAGGGGCTGGATGCCCCAAGGGCAGTTGCTGTTGCTGGCAATGTTTCCAAACGCTGTTTTTACTGCTTCCTAGGAGCCAGTGAAGCCGGAGGAGGGGAGGGACATGGCCAACAGGATCAATGCCTTTGGCTACCTTGAGTGCTCGGCCAAGACGAAGGAAGGGGTGCGGGAGGTGTTCGAGATGGCCACCCGTGCTGGCCTGCAGGTCCGGAAGAACAAGAAGCGCAGAGGCTGCCCGCTGCTGTGAGCGGCCCCAGCTGGCACCGGCACCTGGCTGCCCTGCAGACAGCCCACGCAGCACCTTGTGGTGCCACTACGTGCCCTGAACCCTTTGCACCACAGCTGCCACCCACACCCGCAGGGTGTCCCTGTGACATTCCGGGGCCAGGAGGGGCCAGTGCCTTCAGTACCTGCTGTTCTCCATGGGCTGGGCGTTTGTCGCTCCCCGTGTCGCCCTGGTTTGTGCTGAGCTCCCTGGTTTTGCCTTTCCCACGGGCATTGCTGTGGTGTTGCTCTCCTTCCCCAGCTCGGGGCAGGTGCCACAGAAGCAGGAGGTGCTAGTCACAGCTCCCGTGTGGGCTGTGCCAGGCCCTTGGTGTGCTTTGCCTGCTCTCCTTGGCTGTGCAGGCAGCACACAGAAGCGTTACAGACTTGCCTGGGCAGCTTTAGCCCTGGCTGTGAGCAGTGCTGGGCTCAGCTGCTGCCAGGAGCTCTGCTCCCGGGACGTGTGCCCAGCTCTGCCGGTATCGCCTTTGAGTCTGCCTCGGTCATGGACCTGGCAGCAGTAAACAGAGCTGCATAACTGGGAGAATAAATGCAAACCAGTATTTTAGTAATGGTAACTTTGCTTGTGTGGTGTTCTTCTGGCTCTCCTTTGTGCCCCTCGCTGCTCCAGGCTCCTTGTGCTGCAGGGTGAGGATTTGCAGCTGCTGGTGGAGGACCAGGACTCAGTACCCTGTGCTTGCCAAAGAGCCAGGAAGCAGTTTACATGGGAAGGGCCAGGCAGGAGCTTCCCAGCTGTACCCAGTCCCTGCTGATGGGCAATGCCAGCACTGCTGGAGCCATCCTGCAGCTGAAGCAGGGCAGGGCTGCAGTGAGCCTGATGCTGCTCCAAAGCCCTGTCTGTGTAAGCAAGGCTCACCTAGGACTCAACAATACTCTGTTTTTCTCAAAACATTTATTCCAGGGAAATAGAGTGCCTGCAGAGCCTAAGGCCAGGCCCAGTGGAGAGCTGAGCCAGCCTGTCCCAGGCCAGGTCCCTGCCTTCCCCAGTCACCCATCACAGCAGCTGTGTACCTAGTGATGCTCTTTGGAGGCCAGAGTCTCCAGGCTTAAGCCTTTCCCTGAATGGTGAGACTAGCCACAGAGAATTGTTCTGCCACAAACATGATTAAAATGGAGACTTGTCCCAGTCTGATGCTGGTGTGGGCTTCGTGGCTGGCAGCAAAGCCTGGCAACACCTTCTGGTCCGGAGGGTTCAGTCCCATCTCCTCAGGGGTGCATGGAGCACCCTGAGACTGAGACAGAAAGAGCAGGAGCTGCTGCAGGCCAGGGACAGGCTGAGGGGGATGGAGCTTCATGGGGCTTCTCCCTTCACTGGTGCGTCTTCTGCAGAGAAACCTCATGGCAGAGCTGGCCCCTGACTTCAAGATGGAGACATGCAAGCCCTAAGCAAAAACCTCTTGTAAGCCCTGTTGCATTTGGGGCAGGAGAAGCCTCCCAGTGCCCCAGCTGGAACTCTGGCCATGCTGCTGCCCCAGGATGCTGTTGGGGCCCCACTGGCAGTGCCCAGCTCTGCTCACCTGGTGACTAAGCACTGAGCTGCAGCATGTGCAGGTTGTCGGCGATTCTGTCCTCAGCTGTGCTCTCAGGCTCGTAGGGGTATCCTGTGTAGGCTCCCTCGTCCTTGCAGTACCTGAGGAACCTGCAGATGCAGAGGCAGGGCAGCGTGGGCTCGCGGCTCTGTGCTGCGGGCATGGCCAGGCACCAGCAGCAAGGAAGGGCAGGAGCTGGTGTCTGTGCCAGGGGCCAGGAGCAGCTCACCTGTGCCAGTGGGGGTCCTTGCTGAGCACGATTGGATTACCCACCACGATCAGCAGAGCCTTGGCCCTGGTGATGGCCACATTAAGCCTCTGAAGAGGACAAGCAAGAGGGCTTTACCTGGCTGCAACACCTCTCATCGTCTCGCAGCCCCATCTGGGTGCAGGCAGCTCTGGTGTGGCACTGAGCACGCTCTACCTGCCTATGAGAACCAGAGGGGAGAAGGGGATGCAAAGGAAGAAGGGTCTGCCCGGGGCAAGGCAGTACCTTGGGGTTCTTGATGAAGCCCAGCCTGAAGGTCTGGTCAAACTGGAGGTACGTGCTGCAGCTGCGCACGGTGGAGATGAGGATCACGTGCCGCTCCTGGCCCTGGAACTCTTCCACAGAGCCCACCTGGGACAGGGACAGCAGGTGAGGGGCCAGGAGCACCCCTGGGCTGCAGCTGGCAGGGCATGCTCCTCTCTCCTCCGTGCCCAGGACATACCTTCAACTGCCTGATGTCCGGCAGCTTCTGCAGATCGGGATCCAGGGATGTGATGGCTTTCCGGATCTTCTCTACCTGAGTGGAGGCATGTGACAAAATCCAGCCCCCACAGGACCATCCTTGTGCCAGCCCTGGGGCTGCCCATCCATCCCAGTGTTCCCTGTCCCTTGGGGATGCCTCTGCCTATGTCCTGCCCGCAGAGCTGTGTCCCTCACCTGCTTCCTGTAGGGAGAAATGATGCCGATCTCCTTGGGGGACACGGAGGGGCAGCTTCCCTTGCCCTGGCTTTGCAGCAGCTTCTTGAGGTAATGGACCAGGACCTCAATTTCAGCCGTGTTGAAGAATGAGGGGCTTTTGGCCTCTCTCTGGTCTTCCCCGCAAACCCCATGGAAGATGATGGGGAAGCCCTGGGGATGGAGAACATTTGGCTCTGCTCTGCCTGTGCCTCAGGGATCCCCCTGGGTCAGTCCCTTCTGCACCCCTCACTTTTTTGGGGAGCTCCTCCCAGGTACAATACAGATTCTGGACGTCAAGCCTGTCACTCTTGCACACCTTCAGCTCGTTCTCATAGAAGAGCTCATTTGGGATCCTGAGAATGGCCTCGTGGGACCTGGCAGAGGCAGGACAGTGCCCAGGGTGAGTCCAGAACTCTCAGGCACTGTGCACCCAGGACAGCAGGTGCACTCCCACCTCCCACACCAGCTGGGGCATGAAGAGGCTCTGGGGGACAGATCCTGGAGGTGCCAATCCCTGCCTGGCTCAATCCCTTCCTGCACCATCCCTGTCCCCACCTGTAGTTCCAGAGCAGCTTAGTGATGAACTGTGGATTGTATCCTCCACTCGACTTCTTGTACAGGGGATTGTGCAGCATCAGCCTCTCCAGCAGTGAGGTGCCTGTGCCCAGTGACATCCTGTGGCTCCCCACAAGGCCACTGAGCCCCTGTGGGGTACCTGCAGCACTCCCAGCCCTCTCCCTACTCACCCAAACCATGCTGGATAGCCAGTGGTGAGGTCAGAACAGGGCCCAGTTGCTTGGGGTCTCCTGCCAGCACCAGCTGCCCCCCATTAGGGTTGGTCTCCTGATCCATGGGAGCCAGGAGTCCTGGGAACAGGGAGAGCTCAGTGGGGGATGGAAGGACCCCAGGCCATGCCAGAGATGTTGGTCCTTGGGACAGCACTCACCCGCAATGGCAACCAGGCTCTCCGGCTCTACCGCGTGGCCACACTCATCAATGAAGACGTGGGAGAAAAACCCAGGGGGGAAGTTGGCTGACACCAGCCTGGAGGAGAGATGGAATGAGGGTGTCTCAGCCTCACCTCACCTCATTCCTGCCCCACCTGGCCATCCTTTTTTTCCTACCCTTCATCCTCATTCTCCCACAGAGGAGGGATTTCACCCCCTGTTGCCTGCCCTCGTCCAACCCCTCCCTGCTGAATCCCAGAGAGATTGCCTTCACAGCCTGGCTGCAAGGCAGCCCTGGGTCCACCTGCCACAGATGCTGGGGACAATCCCAGCTCCTCTGACCTTCCTGCTGTCACCAGTGTGGTGATGATAATCCGGTACTGCCTCAGGCTCTCCTTGCTTGGGTACACGTAGCTGCTCTGCTCATCATCCCAGTTGCAGCAGGGCTGGAGCACAGGCATTGGATGAGGTCCCACTGTCCTGGGGGATGCCAGCCCAGCTGTGCTGTCAGGATTTCAGGGTGCAGGGGCAGGGACCTACCATGATATCGGTGGGTACTTCCCTGGGGCTCCTGGAGCTGGCGATGAGCCTGTAGACATTCTCAGGGGCAATGTCCTTGATGAGGCACTGGCACAGCAGGTCTGTGGCACTGTTGGAGGGGGCACAGGCCAAGATACGGGCGTCCTTGAAGCAAGTCCACACCTGGGTGGGAGGAGGAGGCAACAGCATTGAGCCCCACACACAAGAGTGGGAAGCAGTGCTCAGGGTTGGATTTGGGCACCTACCACTCACCTGCTTGATGGCCTCTACCATAGTGACCGTCTTGCCAGTGCCAGGGGGGCCAAAGATGAGGTACGGGGCTGGCCGGGACATCCCTGTCACAATGTGGGTCACGGCTTTGCACTGCTCCTTGTTGGTCTCCAGCTTGCGGTTAAACCACCTGTGGGAGCAGAGCTGCGCTGCTGGAGCGCCATCACCTCCGTCCCTCAGGCCCTCCCACCCTGCACAGCTGGGGACTCACCGGGGCTGGAAGGGGCCTGGGAAGAGGGACTTGTGGCAGGAGGCAGAGGGAAAGAGGAGGCTGAACAAGCCACGGCGCACGGCCAGGACTGCAGCCCGATGCTGGACCTGCAGTGGCAGCCGGTTGAAGGTAAAGGTCACATCGAACTTCAGGTTGTTCACAAACTTCTTCTGCAGCCTGGGAAGGAATGGTGTGAACAGAGCACGGGGCACTCTTCCATGTCCTCCTGGCCCTTTCCAACCTGGCCTTTGGCATCTCTGAGAAAGGCTGCTGGGACCAGACATCACTCACTTGGAGGAGAAGCCCAGCCTGACCTTCTCCAGTTCCACGCTGTGCACGTAGCCCTTGTACTGGACGAGTGGGGAGTGGTCCCGCTCGCTGCTCAGGTGGGCAAAGAGGTGGTCCCCTCTCAGCAGGGATGGGCGGCTCTCAGCCACGCCAGGCACCTGTGCCAAAGGGCCAGCATGATGCCAGGCACTCTGGGAGTGCCAGTGTTGTGCCAGCACCCCTCATCCCTCACCCCCTACGCACATTGAGAACCAGCAGAGCCCTCTCCTGCACCATGGTCACATCCTGCATGTCGTAGCGCCGGATGTCCACCTCCATCTGGATCTCTTCCAGGTGCAGCAGCAGCTGGAATTTCTGTTGGTAGTTCTCAGCCTGCAGAGGTGCTTCCAGCAGCAAGCTGTGGAAGGGCAGCAGCTATGTCAGTGTCCCAGGGGTAGCTTGGCACTCAAGGAACACCTCAGCATGCTCTCAGCCCTCGGCACTCACCGCATGGCAGCCCAGCTGGAGCTGGCACTGGTGTTGGGTCCAAGCAGAATCGTGTCCTTGAGGCTCTTTGGGTACTGGTAGGTACCCAGTGGGATTTCCCTCTCCAGTTTGTTTTTCAGGGAGCTGGGTAGAGAGGACAGCAGTGCTGCAGGGACTACAAAATTGTCCCCTACCCCACTATCACCAGCCATTGCACAGGGCTGAAGAACTGTCCTGTGGTGCCAGACAGTCAAGGAGCTGAACCTTGTCCTGGCTGGAGAACAGGCTGGGTCCTTCTGCTCAGGATGGCAGCGGGTGACTTCACCACATACCTGTCGGGGGGGATGCCATCCTCAGTGAT